AGATGTGGCAGTGGAAGGTGTCAAAGCAGTTTGGAGAGAAAAACAAAGTAAAGAACAACAAAACAAAAAAAAAAAAAGAAAATGATTAATCGATTATTAAATTAGTCCGATTATTTTAATCGATTAGTCGTCGATTAATCGAGGCAGCCCTAGTTGTGATAGTTTAGAATTTACCAGAAGTCTTCACCCTAACCATGTGGTCAGTTTTATTTTTATTTATTTATTAATTTATTAAAGCAAACCTATAACAATCCTTATGCCAATGCATTTTGAGTGTCAGGTTCACACAATCTGTGGTGGACACACATCAAGGAGCGTCAGGAAGTGCTGCAGTTAAACTCAGAGCTCCTCTGAATTATCTGGTGAATTAATTATGAAATATTATCTGGTGAGCATGACGTGCTCTTCCTCTCAGGAAATAAAGCAAAGCCACTTCCTTTATTTCATCAGCTGTTAAACAGAACAGCAGAGGAGAGACATGCTTGACGTACATCAAGAGCAATTTGACGAACGTCTGACCTCAAAGTGCACAAGCGTCCAACTTGAAGCATTGGGACACTTTGACGCCCAAATCTCGTTTGGTGTGAACGCAGCATTAATCATAATGTTGCTTAAATCATCACTTGATCAAATGAGTGTTAATCTCAGTCCTGTCTTCTCATCTGTGTACAACTTCAGAGTTTAGGATAGCATTACGGTTTATAGAGAAGAAAAAAAATTAAGTTATGTGACTGAATTATTTCATTTGAATGCTGTTAAAATCAGATATTTTACATTCATGTAAAATCAGACTAAGCCTGTCCTGGTTCCTAAAGTTTTTTGCTGTACACCCAAATAGGGCTGCCACAAACGATTATTTTTATAATCGATTAATCACCCATTATTTTTTCGATTAGTCAACTAATCAGATCATACGTTAATTGAATATAAAACATACAGCTTGTCGCGCCAGAATGCAGCTGCTATTATATAACCATCATTAGATTTTAGCTATATGCTAACTAAAAATAATTGCTGTGGAAGGCAAGTTCTGCTCTGCAGATATTACACAGGTTTCTCTTTCATTTTCTTAAAATGATCCCACACTTTTGAGCTCCATTTCCAGGTAGCCATGATACCAGAGCCTGTCTGTATAATRTCTTGTGACGTCCACGGCCTACCCCAGTTTCCACTACTGTGCATGTGTGTCAAGGACAGAAAGGTAGATGTGGCAGTGGAAGGTGTCAAAGCAGTTTGGAGAGCAAAGCAGTTTGGAGAGAAAATCAAAGTAAAGAACAAAAAAACAACAACATTAAATTAGTCTTAGATTATTTTAATCGATTAGTCATCGACTAATCGTGGCAGCCCTACACCCAAACAGCTTTTCTTTTTAACAACCTTCTTTAGAAGTCATGAGCTTCACCGAGATTACCGCACCTTTGAAACAATCTGCTAAAAGGTTAAATGATGTCATGGCTTTGAAAGCACAACAGGTTAGTTGACATCATTTGAGATGATTGGAGGCACACCTGTGGATGTATTTTTAGAGAGACACTTCAAAAACACCGCTTCTTTATGCGACACCACATGCATGCGTAAAAAACAATTACCATAAGCTTATTGCAATGTTCCTTCTAAAGTGGCTTAAAAGCAGCATCTGTGTTTTGGAATGGACATACCAAAACTGTTTTAAAGACAACAGAACATTTGTTGGCAAAGCAGAATAAATCCAATGCAAGCGAGGCAGCCAGTCAGGACGAATGTGAGAAAAATTCCAGCAAACTATTGTAGAAGATTCTAAGGAACCCAAAACATCAGACCC